TATATATTTATTTATTTATTTTAGCAATTTCAGATTTTTCAGTAAGCCAGTAAGTGGTCTTGTGTGTGTGTGTCTCACAGGGTCATGTGATGGCCAAGAGGATATTTGACACCTACTCTCCCCATGAGGATGAAGCCATGATCCTGTTCCTCAATATGGTGACTCGTGGTCGAATCCTCATCTTTACCATAAAGGTCAGGAGCTTCTAACTGTCTGAGGAGTGAAGGGGATATTCATGTTCCAGTCATAAACCATACCTGTAACTGTGTTTTTTGGGGGCTTATTTGTCCTGCAGGATGAGGGCACATTCCACTTGAAAGATGCTGCTAAGAACCTGCTCAAGAGTCTGGGCAGCCAGGTGTCCCTCAATCTGAGCTGGAGAGACATGTGGACTCTAGTGGTGAAGAAAGGAGGTAGAAAAGCAGACCTTCATTTTTAACAATGACATTGAGGACAGCCATTATACAGGAAGAGCTTCACTAAATCAATCAGTCACAAAAGATCTGAGGAGCTGGGGAGAATTATGATTGGTTGTTTAGAAACATTAAGAAGATTTGATTATGAGATTTCACAAAGTCAGCCCAAAGTGCACCATTTTATCGTGGATTGACATATGAGTTTTATTTTATTTATTTATTTTTTTAACTAGAATCAGCCTAGATTGTTTTCAGGGCCACTACAACTTTACTGTGTATGACTGAAAGAAAGACTGTTTTTTGTTCTACATATTCGCATTTGTGTCTTGACCTTTGTGCTTGAGGTGTTGTCACTAATGGCTAAACACTTTTTCTTAGGCTGAAATTAATCATCTTTGATTTACAAGAAACAAAACAGATGGATATATTGTCTGTGCAGTTTTTCATCACTATTTTCTACATAAACTTGGATTTTGTTGAGAAGTTATCAGTATAAACCATAAATAATGCATCTTTGATCAAATAAATCAGTCAGTAGGGGGGAAGAGACAAAAGGAAAAACAAGAGTTTATACTTACCCTGAGATTACCTCTCTTGACTTGATGTTGTTTTTGTGTTCAGGTCAGGTTTATGGAGAGAAGCATTCAAAGTCTCCAGCTCTGTCTACCTGGGGAGACCCAGTGCTGCTCAAGACTGAAGTGCAACTTACTGCCTCTGAAGGTAAGAGCCAGTTTTAGCATGCTTGACAAAGGGTGAAATATTTAAACTTGATTCCCCTCTCGTGCACAAAATGTTATAAAAAAACGAAAAGACTTGTAGCCTTTTTTTATGAATAATCTTTTGAAAGTGTGATGACATGCAGTAAAAGTTGGGTCCTTGAGAAAAAAGTCAAAGTTGGGGATTTGCTTCTCCTTATATTAAGATTTTTTTAGTCCCGACGGTGTAGGGACCAGATGGGTTAAAAGTTTGAGACAAAGACTGTATATGAATGATGGTTGAATTCACCGGTAGTTTTGGATTTCACATTTTGTAGGTTTAGCATGAGCATTTTGGCCACAGTTGGGGAAACTGTAAAATGTAAATTTAAAAAAAGATGATGATTTGAAGGTCTCAAACACATTTTATGCACAAAATAACACAAATGTTAAAACTGAGAAAAAATATTAGTTCAAACCAGTTGCTGAACTTCGGGGAGAGGAAAGTTGCTCATTCTTGTTTGATACAAGAGCCGAGCTGCTCAAAAGTCTTGTGTCATCTTTGTTGTATTTTTCATTTCATCATGTGTCAAATATTTTTAACTAATTAAAGGTCTCGGCTCCAGGCAGGCCAGTTCAATACCTATAATTCTGACCAATGTATTTTGCGGTTTAGCATTGTCTTGCTGAAATAGGCCTCACATGGAAAAAACATGTTCTCTTTGAGAGCATATGTTGCTCTAAAAGCTGTGTACACATTTTAGCATTAATAGCGCCTTTTCAGATGTGCAAGTTGCCAGTTCTAATGCACCCATCTATATACCATCAGAGATGCAGGCTTTTGGACTGAGTGCTGATAACAAGCAGGATGGTCCCAGTTCTTTTTAATCCAGAGAATGCAACGGCAGCCATGTTTGCAAATAATAATTTAACATTTGGATTTGTCTGACAAGAGAATAGTTTCCCACTCTGCCTCAGTCATTTTACGTGAGCTTTGGCTCAGAGCAGAACACAGTATTCCTGGATCATGTTCATATACATCTTCCTCTTTTGCATGATAGAGCTTTAAGCTATATTTATGGATGACACAGATGCAAGTTTGCCTCTCTAACATGTTCTTTTCAGTCATGTTGCTGGCCTGTTGACAGTTAACCTAATGTATTGCAACATGTTCCGCCTGCTCTATCTTTTTAGTATTATTTACTTCTTCAGCCTTTTTCCCCACCCCAACCTTTTTGCTGATATAGAAATCGGAATACTTTATGAATCCATAAGAGAATAAAGTTCAAAATAATTTTATATGTTACAAAAAACTGTAAAATAATTTGGGATGTGTTCTTATGTTCTGCAGAGGCAGAGTGCCACTGGGCAGACACGGAGCTGAACAGGAGGAGGAAACTCTTCTGCAGCAAGGTGGAAGGATACGGCAGCATCTGCAGCTGCAAAGATCCGGCACCCGTAGAGTTTAATCCTGACCCTGTAAGACATGTAACAGACACGACTCTTTAGTTTCACCATGTTTTTCCTGCGTGGGGAAGCACAGGAATGCCAAGCTGTAAGGAGGGAGTAATGTCCTTGCATCAGTCAGTGATATTTATTTATTTTGCTATAATTTGTATGGTTTTTTTGGTCTTGGATGAAGACAGAATCCCACAGAAGTGAGAGTAGCATTTGAGCGAGTAGTGAGGCACTGAGCACACTTGCTCGTATGTTTGAGTATGCTCAACTTCACTGTCTCGATGATACTTCCTGTGCTGCTCTGTAGTGAGCCCAGGATTTTGGCATTAGTGCTCTTCAGGCTCAGTTAGAGTGACCCTCCAGTTTGCAATGAATCTCCACAACAGAACAGACTGTCATCATCTGCAGTCCAAAATGGTGGAGCTGGAATTTGTCTGAGCATGCTGCGAGGAACTCAAGACAGTTGAATGACATAAGGGGCCTCCATCCGACAAACAAGCCCGAAGGATGCCACAGAACAGGAAGGACTGAGTTAGCTTAGAGTCCAGTAGTAAAACAACCACTTCTTAGACAGATGGAAAAATAAAGGTAAATTGACGAATTTACCTGGCCAGCTGTCCGAATACATGAGGCTGTATAGTCTATGTAAAGTGTCATTGTTAAAATGCTCATATACTTGGATTTAAGTAGTCAGGTGTATGCTTTACCGATTCTTGTCTTCTTGTCCACTAATTTGAGTTTCTTGTGTGCAAGTATAGATTCAGTATGATCACATTTTTACTGTTTCGTCATTGCAGCTCCCCATCAATAATGTTTTCAATGTCCCAGTGGCCGTTATTGCAGGAAACAGACCTAACTATCTCTACCGGTAAGATCTGAAAAATACTCTTCTGTCATACAGGGAAGTAATAAATCTCTGTCAAAATATAACTAAGTGTTTGGCTTTTTGTTGTTGTTTAGTATGCTGAGGTCACTTCTTTCAGCCCATGGTGTTAACCCACAGATGATCACAGTCTTCATTGATGGATATTATGAGGTACCTTCATTATTATTATTGTTATTATTATTATTATTATTATTATTATTTGTTTATGTATGTATGTATTTATTTATTTTGATTGCTGCAGTTTACTTCTGCCAGTGATTGGGGTGTACCTTTGCTGGTGTTAGGTCATGTGACTATCAAAGTCATACAATTTTAAGATCTTAATCAACACATCATATTTCAATACCTTATTTTAAACAAATACAACAACCATAATTTTATTTGCAGAAGTCTTTATAGATAGTTTAGGTATCTACAGTGGGGCAAAAAAGTATTTAGTCAGCCACCGATTGTGCAAGTTCCCCCACCTAAAATGATGACAGAGGTCAGTAATTTGCACCAGAGGTACACTTCAACTGTGAGAGACAGAATGTGAAAAAAAAATCCATGAATCCACATGGTAGGATTTGTAAAGAATTTATTCGTAAATCAGGGTGGAAAATAAGTATTTGGTCAATAACAAAAACACAACTCAATACTTTGTAACATAACCTTTGTTGGCAATAACAGAGGTCAAACGTTTACTATAGGTCTTTACCAGGTTTGCACACACAGTAGCTGGTATTTTGGCCCATTCCTCCATGCAGATCTTCTCGAGAGCAGTGATGTTTTGGGGCTGTCGCCGAGCAACACGGACTTTCAACTCCCGCCACAGATTTTCTATGGGGTTGAGGTCTGGAGACTGGCTAGGCCACTCCAGGACTTTCAAATGCTTCTTACGGAGCCACTCCTTTGTTGCCCGGGCGGTGTGTTTTGGATCATTGTCATGTTGGAAGACCCAGCCTCGTTTCATCTTCAAAGTTCTCACTGATGGAAGGAGGTTTTGGCTCAAAATCTCACGATACATGGCCCCATTCATTCTGTCCTTAACACGGATCAGTCGTCCTGTCCCCTTGGCAGAAAAACAGCCCCATAGCATGATGTTTCCACCCCCATGCTTCACAGTAGGTATGGTGTTCTTGGGATGCAACTCAGTATTCTTCTTCCTCCAAACACGACGAGTTGAGTTTATACCAAAAAGTTCTACTTTGGTTTCATCTGACCACATGACATTCTCCCAATCCTCTGCTGTATCATCCATGTGCTCTCTGGCAAACTTCAGACGGGCCTGGACATCAGCAGCGGAACACGTCTGGCACTGCGGGATTTGATTCCCTGCCGTTGTAGTGTGTTACTGATGGTGACCTTTGTTACTTTGGTCCCAGCTCTCTGCAGGTCATTCACCAGGTCCCCCCGTGTGGTTCTGGGATCTTTGCTCACCGTTCTCATGATCATTTTGACCCCACGGGATGAGATCTTGCGTGGAGCCCCAGATCAAGGGAGATTATCAGTGGTCTTGTATGTCTTCCATTTTCTGATGATTGCTCCCACAGTTGATTTTTTTCACACCAAGCTGCTTGCCTATTGTAGATTCACTCTTCCCAGTCTGGTGCAGGTCTACAATACTTTTCCTGGTGTCCTTCGAAAGCTCTTTGGTCTTGGCCATGGCGGAGTTTGGAGTCTGACTGTTTGAGGCTGTGGACAGGTGTCTTTTATACAGATGATGAGTTCAAACAGGTGCCATTCATACAGGTAACGAGTGGGGGACAGAAAAGCTTCTTACAGAAGACGTTACAGGTCTGTGAGAGCCAGAGATTTTCCTTGTTTGAGGTGACCAAATACTTATTTTCCACCCTGATTTACGAATAAATTCTTTACAAATCCTACCATGTGGATTCCTGGATTTTTTTTTCACATTCTGTCTCTCACAGTTGAAGTGTACCTCTGGTGCAAATTACTGACCTCTGTCATCATTTTAAGTGGGGGAACTTGCACAATCGGTGGCTGACTAAATACTTTTTTGCCTCACTGTATATATCTTTTTCCTTGTCAGAGACTTTGAAGTCATTGATAACTTTTTACACCTTGGCTGTAAGAGGCTGATGCGGATTTGTTGTTAACCTGCCGGGCGGGCAGCGTTGGCACCGAAGTTGTGAACGCGATAACTCAAGTAACTCGTAGGAATTTGAAATTGATAATATTGGTGCTCCTAATAAAAATGTTGGATGAGTTTAAATCTCAGTGACCTCAACCTCAAGGTCAGAGGTCAAGTTTTTTTAGAAAGCCTTGTGAATGTGATAACTTGAAAACAAGGCTTTTGAAATTGATACTATCTCTAGGAGACGAAGGGGTACCACTGACCACTTTTTTTTTTATTGGGAGTCTGTTTGACTTATAACGATCACGCGTGTTTTACCAAATGAATGAACTGAATCTATAAATTATCTTGTTAAATGTTAAAAAAAAAAAATCTCTACAGTGTATCCTCGTCATAATTACCACGAGAGTAGGATTAAACTGCATCCTTTGTGAGATTAAAAGAATTTAAACTAGAACTACAGAAATCTGTTTTTTGGATGTTTTTGTGTTCTCTCTTTAGGTTTCTATTTCTTTTAGAAACAGAATTGTCATTTCAGGTTATACTCACCACCTCACTGGATTTTGTTCAGGGAAACAGTTTGCAAATTATTAAAGAATCTTTTTGTAGCTCTCAAACATCTGCCTTTTTGACTCAGGAGCCAATGGATGTTGTTGACCTGTTTGGACTGAAGGGAGTTCAACACACACCTATCAGCATCAAGAATGCCAGAGTGTCTCAGGTAAGCAACAGCTTCTCATTCAAGGGTTAACACATAATTCAGAGCAGTACAAGCATAAATTTTAAAGGACCAATGTTTCCTTTACAGAAACGTTCAGCAGTGTTGTTATTAAATTATTCTTTGTTACTGTGAAACTCAAACATCTCTTTCCTCAATCACAGCACTACAAAGCGAGTCTGACAGCAACCTTCAATCTTCACCCAGTAAGGACCAACATCAAACACTCAGCTGTATCATGTTAATGCAGTTTGTTATAACTCTTATTTGAATTTTTCATCTTTTATAATAAGTGCATTGTACAGCTCAATTTTACATTGCACTTCAGCATTTCTTTAATTAAGAAAAAAAAATCATCTGGCACGTCCAAACAGAGGTTTCACAGTGCACACTCAGTTGCTCCAATTCATTGGTTTCTCTGACCATCATAACTAACCTGCAACTTAACCAGAGGTAAACCCTCTAACATAAGTCTGAATTGTAACTGTATACATATAAATTTCTGCTTCCACTCAATATTAATGAGACTTCTGAAACTCTTACTGTCAACACTGACATTATGATTTTATGCAGTGAACTCTGTGAATGCACTGTGGGTGTTTTAGTGTGTGCAGTTGCCTGGGGGTAGAATCTGTATGCACCATATGTATGCGCTCATTAGAGTTTGTTGTGTCTGTTTTATCTTTTCCCAGGATGCTAATTATGCCATTGTACTAGAAGAAGATCTTGATATATCCATTGACTTCTTCAGGTATTTCTTCCAGTCTACATTACCACTACTAAAAGCAGCCAGATGTCCATGTTAGTTCCAGAAAAGGGCTCTTACTGATTGATATCTAGTCACTCTCTACTGACAACTTTTTATGCAGCTGCTGTTTTTGGTTCTTAACCTGGTAGTCTCATTCTGTTAGACTCTACTCATGCTTATGCTTATGGAAGCTGTGCTAAAAATTCTCCATTATTTCAGAGCAAAGTCCCTTTAAATTGATTTTACATTTAATGTTATTGTGAAGTTTATTTAATTGCTTATGTATTACTTAATTACTTCAGTGTAGTAAGTTGTAAATGCTTTAAACTGCCGTTAAAAGTTCAAAATGTACGCCCCTTACACTTTTTCTTGCTTGGCTGATTGGTGGCTCTCCCCTTGTATTGTCCTGAGCAGCCTGGAGATCAGGCTGGCTGGATGATGATTAGAATGAAGAATAGGCCTAAACAGAAGTTCACGGTATTCCACCATCTTGATTCTGAAGAAACCCTGAAAGTGTTGGCTAAGGATAAACGTAAATGCTGTAGTATTATAATGCCTTTTGGTATTAATAACACCTGGTTACATGAATTGGATGTCATTAAAATTAATGTTGCATCAGTGTGTAACTTTGCCTAAACAATGGATACAATACAAACCTCCCTTAGACAGTATCATTTTTAGGTCATAGCATACATTTTAATTGCTATGTAGATGATACCCAGCTTTATCTATACATGAAGCCAGATAATAAACACCAATTAGTTCCATTCCAGGTGAACCTCTAAAAGGTCTCCATAAGGGACCTGTGATTCCTGCCACATTGGCTGCTTTGCACCCTGACAGTGATGCTGCCACAGCTCTGTACCATTTATACCAGCACTTACTGAGTATTTGTCAGCGCTGGTATAAAAGGAAAAGAAGTCAAAACCAGAATTAGCAAAGACCTCACAGAAAGTCAAACTGTTGCAACATCTCTCTAGTGGTGCAACGGATCAAAAATCTCACAGTTCTGATCGGATCACGGTCTTAAGTCACGGATCGGATCAATTTTCAGATCAGCAAAAAAGAAAAAAATTTAACATTTACCTATTAACTTTTTAAGTATTTTTTGCCTATTAAAAACATTCAACTCAAGACTCATTCCACGCAATTATATAAAAACAAATTAAGGTGCAATATAGGGCAGTACAGGGCTTTGTATCTACCACTCCGCTGTGATATAATGAGCGGTCACGTAGCTTTCCGTTGACCTGGAGGTCCACCCGTTTGTAGTTGGGCAACAGAAGATGCCTGGGATAGTTCAGCCATAACTTTAAACTTTTCCTGCTCATACATGCCTGAGTACGATCTTGTCACTGAAGTGGACGCGAACGGGTTATCATAGCGTGGCTCAAGCACGTTCATCATAGTTTAAGCCCCTTGTTTTGCACAAGGGAATACGGCCTCCCGTCTGCAGCTAAACACTCCAGTAGCTTTTGTAATAGCTTTAGCCCGGTCGGATTGGGCAGCAAAGGGCTGCTTAAATACCGCAAACTCCTCTGCTCCTCCACTTGGACCGCTAGCGCTGGCCATAACTATCGCTTGACAGACCCACCACGCGCACCATACAGATACCTTTTTTCCTTCTTTTTCGAATCTTCGGAATAACGTGCGTGCCGAACCATGGAGTGGGTTCGGATTACGGATCAACCGTGATCCGTTGCACCACTACATCTCTCTGTATAATTTGTGATCTCTGAGCTTCTGTACTGAGACGTTATTAAAATTACAGTAAAAACTGACAGTCCTACACTTGTATCTTCGTCCTGGCTGCAGCGGCAGTGAAAGAATGCACCAAGGTGCACGACCGGTCAAAACGACATCAAAGCAGCAACTTGCACCAGTACTCTAGTACTTCCATATGGGAGGGTGGGGATGTGAAGCAGAATCACGTCATAAGACACTTCAGGACCATTGAATAGAACTCTGTATTTTCATTTTTAACCTTGGAGATGAACTCGCAGTGCACTTTCTTGTGAAGGTTGCTTGTTTCAGTCCTCTCATAACAAAGCCACCTTTGGGTTTGAATGTAGGCACACATTAAAACTGGTGCTCAATCTCTTTCTCCAAGAGAAAGAGAGCTTGTGCATTAAATGAGATGCTTACTCTTAAGGACCCAAATGTATACTAGGAATATGTGTCCAAACTGTGTGCTGTTGCTTTTGCAGCAAGCTGTGGTTTATAGTTAGCCACAATTTAATTAAGAAATGATGAGGAGAGAAAGTGGAAATACATCTTTATTTTTTTGTTAAAGGAACTTTCTGCATAGCATCCTCAGCTCTTCTGTGAAATTTTTAAAGATGTTTTTGATTCTATAATGTCAGCTGAGACGGCCCTTTAACACGCTGACCTGCAAGATTCACCACCAGATGGCAGTAGAGGGCAGTGATAATAATGCTCTGCTCTGTCAGAACCTCTAGCCTTCCTTTGTTGGACAGGCTGTGCTTTGAACTGTGTGTTTGCTGCTCTGAAAGCTCCAGCTTCCCTCCTGGGCTGACCAATCTGTTTGAAGCTCTGACTTCAATAGTGGAGAAGAACTTGCGGCTATCATCTGTGTTTGCGCCAGTTTGCTTTTGAGCTTCAAGCTTTCAGTTAGAGAGCAGTGAAATTAAAGCTTGGTTCTATTGACAAAAACAAGCCTGTTATTTCTTCTTTATGTCCAATAGTTGTAGTTTCTTGAAGGAATATCTACAAGTCCAGTTCAGAAGCTCCCCGTGTCAGCTGTCAATCACAGTGACCACTTGCTATGAAAGGTCTGGTAGAAAAGCTCAGTGTAATCTGTTGAAGTACCAGAAAAATGTTCCTGTTCAGTGATCAGACGTCTGTATGTTCGGGTCTTCTGTTTAGATCAAAGTTTTCTTCATGTTTTTTTGTTTTTTTTCTAAAATCATAACTGCAAACTAGACTCCTTTTTATATTCAGTCTATTGTCAGAAAACGGTTACATTATCAATATTTTCTGTTTCTGTAGCTTTCTGAGTCAGACCATCCACCTGCTGGATGAGGATGACAGCCTGTACTGTATTTCAGCCTGGAACGACCAGGTGAGTGCTGACTATCATCTGTATTCCTTATTTTCACACTTAAGTGACTTCACTATTTGACTTCTCTAAGCCTGCTTTTTATGAACATTGTCCCGCCAGTCTTTGTTATGTAGATGATAACACTCCCCTATATGTGGTGTTGATCAGGGCTATGAGCACACAGCAGAGGACCCGGCCCTGCTCTACAGGGTGGAGAGTATGCCCGGCCTGGGCTGGGTGCTGAAGAAAAGCCTCTACAAAGATGAGCTGGAGCCAAAATGGCCTACACCCGAAAAGGTGTTTGAAGTTGTCTTTTCTTTTGTTGTGATATTTTATCACCGATTGATTCTTCCAGTGGTCATAAATAGATATGTGAAGTGAATAATCTTCAATAACTTTTAAATATGAGTGATTAAAAGGAGCTGCATGAAAGGATTTTTAATATATTGTGTTGTTGATTTTATTGTCATGTTGTAATTCTAAAAATCTTGAATAATATCTATGTAGCCCTTAAAAAGAATAGTGTCTAGCTGACAAGTAAAAACAAATGCAGGAACACGCTGTGCATGCGTGTGAGGCCGTGGCAAAAAGATCGTGACTAAGTGCGTGCCTGCGCTCTTTCTGGCTTGTAGCTGTGGGACTGGGACATGTGGATGCGAATGCCAGAGCAGAGGAAAGGCCGAGAGTGTATCATCCCTGATGTATCCCGCTCCTACCACTTCGGTATCATCGGCCTCAACATGAATGGCTATTTTCACGTAAGATCTGAAAGGAAAATGCTTTTTGTTATCAGCTTTTCATTTGTGTATTCCTGACACAAAGCGACAGGTCTGAAGGCAGCACTAGAGCAGTTAAGTCAGCTGTATCTTTTTAGCCTGCTGTTAAAGATTGCTGTTTTTGTCTTATCGTGTCACATAGGAGGTATATTTCAAAAAGCACAAGTTCAACACTGTTCCCAATGTACAGCTGAAGAACGTGGGCAGGTGTGTACAGCCATGTGATTAAATGCTATTGTTTTTTTGTAAGTAATCTGGCTACATGGTGACAGACTTGGTTTTAATTGGTCTTCACAGCTTGAAGAAAGATGCTTATGAAGTTGAGATCCAGAACCTGCTGAAGTGAGTACAAACTCTGGCATCACTCAGCGTGTTTGCTTATGGTTGTTGTAAACCACAAAAAGTAAATTTTGTGTGTGTGTGTGTGTGTGTGATATTCCAGAGAGGCAGAGGTGCTAGACCACACCAAAAACCCATGTGAGGACTCATTCCTACCTGACTCTGAGGGGAAGATCTACATCATGTTCATTAAGATGGAGTCTGAAACAGACACATCCACTTGGACTGAGCTTGCCAAGGTGGTCATATTTACATAAGTGGTCTTGCTTGTGATTTTTACAGGCAGTGATTTAAGCCCTAATAAATTCAATCATGTCTCTTGTTTAGTGCCTGCACGTTTGGGATCTAGATGTTCGGGGATACCACAGAGGTCTATGGCGGCTCTTCAGAAAAAGGAACCATGTGTTGGTCGTGGCTGTTCCGATCTCCCCGTACTCGTAAGTAACTCTCAGATTATATGTAGCCCATACCTGTAATCTTTCTGGGAAAACAAGAAAGTCAGAGATAGAGACATGGAAATCATATGACCATTATCTGATGGTTTACAGCAGTTGCACCCTAAAGCAGTGTGAAACAAGATGAAACATTTTCACAGCCCTAAGAGGAAACCGTAAAAGATCCTGTTTATTACCTAAGAGCAGCTTCTGTTTGTTAGAGCAGCAGGTTCTGTGTGACGGCCTGTAAATGCAGAACAGAAAATGGAGATGGAGAGGGATGCAAACAGCAAAACAGCAGAGATGTGGCCTGGTTGTTACATGAATAATTCAGGGTTTTCAACACAGTGGAAACACGGGCAAACAATGACCTTTTACGTGACAGGAAAGGGAGAAAGGAAAAGTTTCAGGTACTTTGGATAGATAAAGGGCTATGCAAATAACTTATGCAATCTAAACAAAATATTGTCTCTGTTTGCTGCCTGCCTATGAAATCAGGCAGTCAGTCTGCTATCACCTGCAGTCTTCTGTTGGAATGGATGTATTCAGGTCCAGGTCTCAAGTGTTTGGCAGTCCAGCACACATTCTGTTACACAGTTGGTATTTAGCTTTGAAATGCTTAGAAGGTGCATTCTCCTAATATGTAGGCTAAAGTTTTAGCCCTATTGTTGATATTTTGGTGAGATGCTGCATCTTTCACTTGTTTATAGTTAGATTGATTCTCATAGCAACACAAGGAGCAGATTTATTAATTGTAAACATGATTAAGTGAAGGATCTAAGATTTCATGTGGGAGGTACTGGTTACAACTGGTGCTTTTAATGAGAAGAGCATTTCAGGAAGGCAGACTATTGAAACACTCCTGAGTACCCTGGCTCATTTCTTTTAAAGAGGTACCTTGTTGGAGGGGAGGGAATAATTCATAGATAATTAATTAGCACCAATATTTGAAGAAAATGTTTGATTTCCTTCCATTGCCCATAAACTTAATTTATATAATTATATAAAGGTTATATAAACTCCACCTCAAGACATGATGTGAATACGATAGGATACAAAGAAGCAAAGTCACTCCTGCTGCACTGTGCCAGTCATCAGAGGGAGAAAGGGAATTTATTTCAAAATTAATATGATAACTCCTGTGATTGTTTACACTTCCTTTCTTCAACCATCCAATTGTTTTTGTTTTTTAAAACTTTATTTCAGTAAAATAACTTTAAGCCCTTTAACAGAATCTCTAGTTGGAGCGAGAATTTTTACCCTGTTTTTGCATTAATTACTGATTTACTGATAATGTTTCCTATCAATATGTTTTCTTTGTCAGTGACCACAAGAGACAAAAATCACCATGGTTGATTAATCTGCTTCAGATTCACAACAACCAGAACAGCCAACTACAGTTGCATTCTTAAAGTCTTTTGCTTTTAATTCTCATTTTAATAACCATCTTGGGTAAATTCACACCAGATAAAAAAAAACAATTTGCCTTAATTCACTTGTATTTCTGTGTAGGTTCTCTGATCTCTGCTTAATGTTATCATCGCTCCACTTCCTTTTTTGTAACCTCATGTGTACTCTCTTATTTTATTCTGATCAGTGTGAGGAAACCAGCGAATGTCACTCCCATTCATTTAGAGCCTCCTCCTAAAGAAGAGGGAGCACCGGTGGAGCAGATGTAGATCTGATGTTACACACACACACACACACACACACACACACAAACAGAGACTTCAACAAGCCCTGGCCTTAACACTACTACTTCTCTCCATCAACGAACATTAATAATCCAGCCTGGGGCCCAGAGCTACAGGTCTGTCTTGGGTACAAGAGGATACCTGGGACACAGAGTCTATTTTTTATGTTGGAGGAAGAATTAACACTACAAACAGCACTGGTGAGTCCGTCCAGCAGTGATGGTAAAACTAGTTATAGTTAATTGTGATTGTTCAACCACAACAGTGTACAGCTGCCAACAGCTGTGTCTTTTTGTGGATCGATCACTAAGCTACATCTTTGACAGAACAGTACAACTGACATAAACACACTGACCTGAAAGAAGGCAGTGCTCCTTATAGTTTGGTATTTTAACTACTGAGTGTTTGTCCATTTTTGTACATACATTTTAACGAATCTCTATTTATTTTACATCTGTCAAAAGTTAGTGCTTTTTTTTTTCTAAATAAGAAAATCCACTTTGATCAAGTTCAATGCATTTTTAAGAGTCTGACTTTTACAATGAAAAAATGTAAGTGTGTGTGTGTGTGTAAAATCTAAAGGTTGGCATTTTTCTCAGCATTAGATATCGAGTGTAAAAGCCCCATGGGTTTGTACCGTTATTGACTGTATAGATCACTTGCCTCGGATTAGTCTTGATGATGTAATCCGAAAGGTGGCTGAGAGACACAAACCTGAAAAGTCATACTTTTAACATGTGCTGCATCTGAAACCAGAGAAATTGCAAATGCTGTGATGTTAATGTGTGCTCACCTACAAAATGATGCACATTGAACAAATCACTTTAAATTCGGGCAGTTTTTTTTTGTTTGTTTTTTTTAAGTAAATTAACCTTTTTCCATCTGTTTCTGGCATAGTTCACTACTGGCTTTTGCTCTGTCGGGGGGAAAAAAAAGCACGTGGCCCTTCCAGTACCAACAAGTAATAATTGACACAGGAACTGAAAATCATAATTAACAATCATTAGGAACGAAACATTTTGTTGTGTACCCCAAAAAAGGAGGAAAATCCGTGTCTAGGATCAGATCTAAATATGCAAACGTGTGCTAAACAAACAGTTCAGGATATTTGTATCCTAGCACAGCATTTACGTGTGTACGCATTTTTTTTGTTGTTGTTTTGTTTTGCTTTTTCCTGAAGCAGACGCACTTTTTTTTCTGTGCTTGCTGCTGTTTTTGAGATACAAGAGACAGCGGCAGCTGCATAAGGTGCTGAACGTTCAGTTGCTGCTTTGTTTCCTGATTGAACAGTGTTCAACTACTGAAGCTACTAAAAACTGAGCTCAACACTGTTACTTTTCACACAGCCATCCAGTCACGTAGGAGAAGGGCTCAGATAACAAGAACACCTGGTATAAACACTAAAGAACCGAGTCAATTTCTCTGCTTGTACCAAATGAAATCCCCAAACTAGCACTTTAGTCATATATTAATTAGATCATTGTGGGTCAGACATCACAGCAGGCAGGTACTTGCAACCAGCTACTTCCTGGAAGCAGCATGTGTTAAAAATGTATTTTTTCCCCCTCCTAATTTCTTAGTGTGCGTATAAATTTTGGTCTCTCTCAACCATCCTGGAGGCCAGAGGCTCCACCACTTCCATCCACTGAAGGTAGCAATGTGAAAAGAGTACTAAATCTTCGTTACATATATTTATCTGAGTTTCTAATTGCAGTGTTCTTCATTTTTAAGAGTAGTAAATACGTGAGAAGATTTATTTGATAATCTCACTGGCCGCATTCAATGCCCTGAGATGCAGCTGAGAGAGAGAGAGAGTGTGTGTGCGTGTGAGAGAGAGAGAGAGCGCGCGATTTCTCTTGTAAAGCTTTTCTAACTGGTGGTCAAATAGAAACCCAACCCTTTAAGAAAATGTTATTCTTTATGGTAAGACATGCAAAAGCAAACAAAGTATTATCTGCTTATGGATACATTTATTTTGAAAGTCACACTATAGAACTGTCTAAGCATTTATTCACTCTGTACTGGTCATGTTATCATTTCAAACAACTGTTATGGATGTTTCAGGCAATTAAAAATGAAAAGATAATTGAAATATTTGTTCCAATTGAGGTCTAAAAACACTGACTTTTAATCCAGATGTTGATATTCTACCAGATGTTTTAAAAGAACGTGGAGTTTTCAACCATGTTAACAGAGAGGTGTGAGTGTGAGGAAGAGATACTGGACATGTTCTTACCAGCTGATGTAAGAACGCATTAACCAAATGAATGTGAATTTTAATTCTCTGTTAGTATTTGCAGTTATTTGATTGGAAGGTGTTTACCTGTCAGAATGAACCACTGACGTTGGGGCTAAGTTTAAGTCCTAGTGTGTTTCTCTGGTTTCAGATCTCTGCAAATTGTCTTTTTTTCCCCCTTTGTTTGTTCTTTCATTTCACTTTGTGGTGTTCCTGCTTTTCTGGGTTTCAAAGGTTAAATTAAATTGAATCATTGTTTCAATAGCAATACAGTTGATTTAATACTGTGGCAGGATTCTGAAAATACTGGAAAGTGCTTCGTATGAGTGACCGAGGAGGATTTGTGGACTTGAATGCAGTTTGACATGTATGAGTTTCTTTTATCTTGGAGATGAATAAAGATTTTTTTTAAACTCACTCTCATGCTTTTTTGCTTTTCTTTTCCACCGCCTCAAGGCTGTACTGTACAATATTTTAATAATTCATAAATAAAGATTTATTGTGTGTATGATATTCATGGAATAAACCAGAAGCTCTTGTTCTGAGAGTGTGTGTGGGAGAGAAGAGAGCTGCCTCCAGATTTCCCATGAGAGGCATGCAAAGGAACTGGGAGGCAAAAACCACATAGGGAAATGTATGCAAATCCTCAGGACTCGGTGGATTTCTGTATTCATTGTGGCTGACCAAGGATGAGTGCGGCTTCCTATCCTTTGAGGTCCAACTTTTGCAGCTAAACTGTTTGTTTTTGGTGATTAACCCCACTGACATCAGTCTTTTCTTTTGTTCAAGGAGAGCCACATGTTGTGATGCATGTATGTGTGTGTGGAGGCAGACTTCTAGAGGCGTTTTAAATTCTACTTTATATTTAAGCCAGCAATCAAAATGAAACAGATCTGAGGCTTTACACTCAACAGAGTTTGGCTTGTAGATGCTGCAGAGAACATGCATCTCTTTAAAGGACCATTGATCAACGTTGTGAAATTTTTTTTGAAACACAGATTATTTGGGCATGACAAGGGGATCTGGATTGAATTGCATGTCAGTGATAGTATTTAATTTTTCATGTAATATTATTATTATTATTATTTTCAAATGACTTTGTAACAAAAGCAAAAGAAAAGGATCTTCACCCGTGGTCTCGGATCAGTTAGTTGTTAAACTTTGAAATGGTGCAGATGAGGGGGTTCTGTGGGAACAAGAGCAGTTGCAGAGATGAATGGAAATTCTCTGTGCATTCATCATTATGAGTGACATGTTTCATAGCATACAAAGACATTTTGTTCATGCATCATCTAAATTATAGATTAGTGTGCCTGCTGAAAATTTAAGGGTCTCCTCACTCTCACTTCACTACACAACTGCAGCCATGACAGAAGGAACTCAATCAATTTATACAGAACTCTACAACTTGTAGTATAACTGTGTAATAAATATAACATGATCTCATTTGATCAAATATCTTACATGCTGTTTCTTTTTCATTTGAAAGTCAGCCATGTCTGTACTTGCTGTTATTTTTCTGTTATAAATGACTGTTTGAACAAGGCTAATGGATAATGTTTGAAAGCATTAATTCAAGAGCAGTGAATAAACAGTTGAAATTAAAATAGAGGAAAAATGTCTTAAAAAAGGTAAAAATATTAAGTTGCAATATTACAGTAATACAGAGAAAACAAACATTCAGACTACGCCGTCATCTAGAAATTTGATTCTGGATTTAACAGGGACCCAGTGAGAAGAAGACAAAAAGTTACATCAGTACTCTGCAGCATTTTGGATCAGCTGAAGGCTTGAATTTAGAAGCAGGACATTAATGATCATCTTTGTCCTTAAGACATTCCTGTAGTTTAAATAATTGGTGCGTGTTATGTGGTTTCATGAACAATTCAAGCTGCATATGTCATCCACATTCTTGTGTTGTGGCATTGTTATGCAAGGCCTTCTAATTATACTCCATAGAGGAATCATATATAATGCAAATGGTATTGGTCCTATCTAAAAATCCTTTTAGATAGATTTTATTTAAACCACTGCAGCACAGTATCCTTAATACCTATACATGTTCTACTAGATGTATGTAATTATTGTGATCAGCATTATTAAACGCTGTGTTGAAGTCAGAAGCAGCGGAAGAAAATCATCCATCATGACACAGAAACTCCTATCAGAGAACTAGGGCCTAAACCATTGCAGAGCTGAGGCAGTTATGCCCACCCACTCTTCCTGTCTGGTAATAAGGATTTTGTGGTCCACTGTGTCAAAAGCAGCTGTTAAATCTAAAAGCACATGTAAAAAACTTTTCCCTGAATTCATTGCTTAAAATATGCTCTTAAGATCAATTAACATATTTTTAAATTCCAGCAAGCATACTGACCTGTCCTTGGTGTTGTACAGCAAAACAGGCTCAAGCTATCATTCTTCCACCACTGTATGTCATAGATGGGATCAGGTTTTTATGCAGGAATCCAGTACTTCCCCTTCTCCAAACAGAACACTTCTTAATTGTCTTACTATATATGATTGTAGCATATTTATGTGCATATTTATGTACATATGTCTGTATGTACCCTTGGAACTCCTTAACAGGTTGACTAATGGTAAAATGGTAAATGGCCTGTATTTGTATAGCGCTTTACTAGTCCCTAAGGACCCCAAAGCGCTTTACACATCCAGTCATTCACCCATTCACACACTGGTGATGGCAAGCTACATTGTAGCCACAGCCACCCTAGGGCGCACTGACAGAGGCGATCTGCATGAAACCTTCCACAAACATGCTTACCCATGCAGCAATTAGCATCTATATGTTTTTTAAAAAAAACAAACATTTATTGTAAATTCCAGTACTTTAGATTTTCATTTTCATCATCAATATGATGTTATGTCCACCATTTACATTTCTTTCACATCACATTTAGCATATGTCACCTGAAGCAATTTGTTTCCACAGCAGACTTTTGTTCAACTCTCCACTAAATATGGGTAAATATGGGTAAAGGTTTTTGTTAGTTAAACTAAATCATTTTGTTCTGGGTGCTCGCTGACTGAACCTCTTCAGCTCACAGTTTTTCGTTTGCTTCTACCTTTAGGTCCTTATACTGAGTTGACTTTCTGACTTTTGTTGCAGATCTGAAACTGTGGCCACTAAATGTGGATATTAAAAAAAAAAGCAAAACCCAAAAGGTGTTGAAAAAAATAACCCAACACTGAAACACATTCAACAAATGTTTGAAATATTTTATTTTATATATACATTCTTTTTGAAAAGGCAACATTGAAAACCAAGGATGATATTGGTAAAAGTGTACTACTTCTAACAGAAACTTATATATGATGTTTTTTTTTACATAATAAATATGACTTTATAGCTAATTATTGCATAAAAAGAATAAGAGTGATGTTAATATAGATTTGATTTTTAATTAAATTATCTGTCACTCCCAAAATGTTCTCTGTGAAGACCTCTCAGCTATCTTCGTTATCCAGGTGGCAGTACAAATTAATGGATACCAATATGGCAGCAATCTGGAGAAACAAAAGTGTAAGAGTCCAAACAGAATGACATAAACAGGTTTTGAATGCATCCTTAAGCTTTGCATGAGTTTTTACCTCCAGTAATCCAATTCCTGCAGCAGTGCCTCCCATGGTGCTAGCGTTCTCTTTGATGATCATCAGGATCTGCTGAAAACAGCCCTGATAGGAAATGGGCTCTGGTTAATTCCTAATGCATCAACATAACACGCATGGCTGACACTCATGCAGACACTAATGCAAAAATAACAATCGCAAAACTGCAAAATAATGGTTGGCTCAAAATCCACTACATTTCTAGGCCAGAATCAAGATGCTTGGGGCAGTCAACACTTGGTCCAGAATCAAATATTTTAACTGTTGCTACCGTCATAGAATTTAGACATACATGGTCCCCCACTGTTAAAATCTTAGTGACGTTTTGGTGTTTTTCATTTGTTTGCATAGCTCTGAGGTTATGCAAAAAGAATGACTGTGGAATTTCAATCCATGCAGGAGCTACAATGAGACTTCAGTTGAAGATAAGTTAACCTGAAAAAATGTTAAAGCTTAAAAACGTATGGCAAAAAACAAAAAAAATAGTTGCAGTAGACAGTTTCCATTGTTTTTACTGGACATTGTTGTCATTGGGCAGGATGTTCCACACATTTTCACACCACTACTTGTGTCAGTAATGAACTACAATGTGGGTGGCATGGTTTCAATACCAGGAATATAAACTTTATTTATGCTTAGCACCATTTATGTCTATGTAAAAATATTTAATATTACAGCATTAAAAAGGTCTTTTACAGGTTTTGGTCTCTATAGTTAGTTGTTATCTAACAACCATACTTAAATAGCACTTTTCTTCTAGAATTAAACCCTCAAAATGCAGTTTAATAATACAAGTCTCATACTCCCAATCACTCACACATTCATACAGTGCTTCATTCTATGCCATACCATCTTGTCTAGCACACATACTCTAATATAAAGCCATCAGAATCTCGGCCGAGGATATTTCAACATGTGAACCGGAGGAACTGACAATCAAACTACCAACTTTCAAATTAGTAGGAAACCTGCTTTACTTCCAGGCCCACAGTCCCCAGACAACTTCATAGCATGACAGAGTATTTGTTTTCACTTCTTTTGATTCTATTTTGATTCTAATTAGTGGTCACTAACAGCTACATATGTAGCTGGCAGTTGTCTGCTACATATCAGTGAACTGGACCTGGAACGCCACAGAGCATGGCAAACAGTATTCCTGCTAAACACTAGCTTGTTTGAATTGTCATTGTTTTCATGCCAAAGCTGCACAATGTATAATGTGGTCATTTCACCTGCACATTGCTGTACTCTGCCTGGGCTGGGGTGCAAGTGTTGTTGTTGGTCCTGCAACAGATGGAAGGCAGGCTGCCTCCAGTTGCATTTTGGAAGTTAGAGCCCATGAAATCAGTGTAGTTGGAGAAACCACAGCAATGTAGCTGAAAGAAGGATGACATTCTTGTGTTATTCATGCTGCAGGAAAATATGTGAAGAGGGTTATCTACATAATGGTCCTTTCTTAAAGGCACTGCCTTGTCTTGATGTTAGTGGTTTCTATCTCCCCTTTCAGACATATATTCCAGCAGGGTGTAGGTGTTACTTGCCTAAATCTCATTCTTCTCTTTCAGCTAACTCTTCTGGACTTGCCTTAGTCTCTGCAGGTATTTGGTGGTTGCAACTTTCCTGGCAGCCGCTTCATGATTCCCACATCCCTGTGAGATTGCCCGGTAATTCTCGCTATTCTTAGTGTCTGCAATGTTCCCTTTTGGTTTTGCAATCCCCTCAGTTCTGACTACCATCACTCTCTTTGTTTGTTCCCTCTCCAGTTCGAATAGCATTCCACTGTCACTGGTGTAGATCTTGGTGGGATGGATAAGTGAATCGATGTCCTGTTTACTCCTGGCATACAGCTTGATATCATCCATGTAGAGGAGGTGGCTAACGATTGCTCTATTCTGTAAGCAGTGTGTGTAATCAGTCTTGTCAATCACCTGGGATTAAAGAGTTCAGGCCTACAAAGAACAGTGGGGGGAGAGCATCTTGAACAACTGCTCTGTTTACCAGTAGCTGATGTTTTGCCCCTCTGATCCCCAAGGATCTGTGAACATTGGGGATCAGCACTGTCCAGCCTTCAATTATCTATTCCAGCTACGTGTTGTCCATTATCAACCGGTTCATTTCTGCTGCCAGGTGCTCATGGAGTGCAGTTAGTTCTTCAGCAAGCAGATGTGAATCATGTTGGGGCCTGGTACTGTCCAACTGGTGCTGTTCATGCTTGACACTCTTTGTTGGATGTTTGTAATGGTTACTAGATCCTGTTCAGGCAGCAGAAATCCAGACTCATCCGACAAGACAATGTGTTTGCAATTGTCTGTTATTTGAGTTAGTGTTGCTTTCCTACCAGCTGAAAGCATCCCAGCCAACCTTGTCTGACTTCCAACATTCAAGGAATTTCACTCCCTGGATATTTTCTCTTTTGAAGATCATTGTCTGTAGGATGATTATGTTCTAAAATACAGGTAGATCAGCGATTTCTGAAATACTCAGACCAGCCTGTCTAGCATCAGCACCTATGCCATGTTCAAGTCCCTTAAACCACTTTTGTACATGACTAAATGCATTTGTTTCTGTCATGTGATTGGCAGAACAGATATATATGTTAATATGCAGTTAAGCAGGTATACATAAATCAATGGTGAATGTATATACAGTTTATATATAAAGTTCTAAACACATATAACAAGAATAGGAAAACACAATATCCTGTACCTGTGTCATGGTGCTGTTCCAGAGCTTAGTGACAGCAGGATCATTACCATATTGATTCTGTAGAGCAGGAGTCGCCCACGCTCTCAAGATCCCCTCAGCCTGTGGAAAAAACTGATTTACTGACATCATATATAAACAAATATATCCTCACTGGACACATCTAGTCTGAATTTTATATTTTGTTTCTAAAGTCACTGGGTCAAAATTACCCAGTGACAATCCTTTTTATCTATACTCGCTAGGTTGTTATGTTTAGTTTTAGCGTCTTGTGATGTCTAGGTAAACTGTGTCAGATGTGTCCTCACTTCCCACATTATCCCTCTTGTATTTAGTGTCTGTGTCTTCCTTTGCTCCGTGTCGCGATCGGCTGTGTGTTTACTTGTGTGCCTCTCCGTGTGTTTAGGTTATATTTTCCCAGTTTACTTTTGTACCGTTTTCCCCTTGTGTCAGCAATAAAGCTGCCTTTTGAGTTCACTTTCTTGCCTCCGTGTAGTCTGCAATTGGATCCTGCCTGCCTTTCCTGCCTGCACAGAGCCGCATCATGACAAGGATAGCTTGCCCTCATGTCCCCCCTTCTTTGTTTCCTTTGCTTTGCAGGTTGCTATTTCTGTTTTGATAAATAAACCTATCACGTACTGTCACAAAGACCTAATTGATGGGTAGGGAGGGTCAGAAATGTACTCTAAATGCATGTAGCCATGTACAGCCCTATTTTCTTTTCTTTTTAGCTTCTCTGTGTGGGTGGACATGTTTGAATGCGTGCACAGTGAATGGGATACATGGGGTATCCCAAGGGGATGCTGCGATACAAGTCACGATTAAATGTGCCCCCCAAGTGAGGCTAAAATCAGAAAGATATATTACTAGGAGGCTAATTCAACACTGTCAATTGCCCTGCGCCTTGTCACTTTCTGTTGGATGCACACACACACACACACACACACACACACACACACACACACACACACACACACAGAGGATAAGCAACAAAGAGCTTGAAGTAATACACAGTTCAGTGATGCAGGAGATGTTAGCACTGTACATCTATCAATGTAGAGTGGTATGAACACATTTACACATGATCAAAATCTCCACCTTCATCTTTTATTAAATTATTGATCTCTTGCTCTATAGTATGTTGCTGTTTTTCAAATAATTAACAGTATCTTTTCTTGTATGGCATACATGTTAAGAAGAAAGCAATAAATAAAAATCAAAGCAACTAATTCCAAAGAAAGTGATATACTCATTTGTTCATAGGAGTGGGTTGATAGTTGTCATAATTGTCATAAGCCATCCCTTTTTTATATATTTAGTCATG